CACTTTTTTTTTTGAAAAAAAAAGTAGAGGTATTGTTATAGTCGGGTCGGCGTTGCCGTTGCCGTCCGCAAACTTGTACCTGGATCATAACTTTTTTTATTTCTTGGTGTATTGTCTTCATACTTGGCCACAACAACCCTTGGGACAAGACCTTTCAGTAGACCACACTAACCTTGACCTTCATCCGTAAATGACCTTGACCTTCAAGGTTAAAAGTCCAATTTTTGCTTGTTCATGCTGTTATTGGCTGTAACTTTGTTATTTTTGAATGGATTGTCTTCAAACTTGAACATAATAATCTTCAAGGATATCCCTTAAAAATAACCCGCCAGACCTTGACCTTCACTCATAAATGACCTTGACTTTGAAGGTCAAATTATTGAAATTTTCATTTTTTTGGCTATTATTGGCTGTAACTTTGTTATTTTTGAATGGATTGTCTTCAAACTTGAACATAATTATCTTCAGGGATATCCCTTAAAAATAACTAGACAGACCTTGACCTTCACTCATAAATGACCTTGACTTTGAAGGTCAAATTATTGAAATTTTCATTTTTTTGGCTATTATTGGCTGTAACTTTGTTATTTTTGAATGGATTGTCTTGAAACTTGAACATAATAATCTTCAAAGATAACTGTTAAAAATATACCGAAAGACCTTGACCTTCACTCATTAATGACATTGTCTTTGAAGGTCAAATTATTGAAATTTTGATTGTTTTGGCGGTAACTAACTGTAACTTTGCTATTATTGAAGGGATCAACTTCATATTATAACAGAACATTCTTAAGGACCATACCTTGTTGTTTATCAAACCCAAATTTGCTTGGGCTCTTTAATGACCTTGACCTTGAAGGTTAAATTACTGAATTTTCTCAGATTTGTGCATTAAATGACCATAATTATATATTTATTGGTGTGTGTGTGTGTGTGTGTATATATATATATTTACAACAACAACAAGAATTGTGTAATGTTTCTATTTATAGAATTGTGTCATTGTTTCTATTTATAGAATTGGGTCATTGTTTCTATTTATAGAATTGCGTCATTGTTTCTATTTATAGAAATTGCGTCATTGTTTCTATTTATAGAAATTGCGTCATTGTTTCTATTTTTAGAGATTGCGTCATTGTTTCTATTTTTAGAAATTGCGTCATTGTTGCTATTTTTAGAAATTGCGTCATTGTTTCTATTTATAGAAATTGAGTCATTGTTGCTATTTTTAGAAATTGCGTCATGTTGCTATTTTTAGAAATTGCGTCATGTTGCGAGAAATTGCGTAATGTTGCTATTTTTTGAAATTATGTAATGTTGCTATTTTTAGAAATTGCGTAATGTTTCTATTCATATATATATACAAAATATATAAACAAAACTAATGTGACAAGACAGACCAACTAAAATTTATAAAAAGGGAAACGTTAAGATATGTTCAAACCTTTCTATGTTTGCGTTTAGAAAAAGTAAAAAGTCGAGCGTTGCCCCCCGCCCGGCGGTGGCTCTTGTTATTAAATGGCTTTATTTACACTCCTGCGCTGCAGTTTATGTGATAAAATATCATAATACCCGTGCCACAATGAAACCCCATTTAATAATGGGTGAATTTTTTATATTTTCAGTGAGAAGAGTAAACGAAGGACAAGAACTGTCCAGAACACAAATGAACCCACCTGGAATCAAACATTCATGTACCAGAATGTAAAACCAGAAGACTTTGTTGAGAGAATGATTGAGATTACAGTATGGGATTTTGATAGAATAGGAGCTAGTGAATTTCTTGGAGAGGTAAGAGTTAAATACCTCGCTGCCAGGGCAATACTTAATGCCCCTTCTGACCAGGACAATAGTAAATGCCCCTTGGCTAGGGCAATGTTTAATGCCCCTTGGCCAGGGCAATGCTTAAAGCCCTCTCTGGCCAGGGCAATGTTAATGCCCCTTAGCCAGGGCAATGCTTAATGCCTCTTGACCAGGGCAATGTTGATGCTCCTTGACCAGGGCAATGTTATTGCTCCTTGGCCAGGGCAATGTTGATGCTCCTTGACCAGGGCAATGTTAATGCTCCTTGGCCAGGGCAATGTTATTGCCCCTAGGCTAGGGCAATGTCAATGCCCCTTGACCAGGGCAATGTTACTGCCCCTTGGCTAGGGCAATGTTAATGCCCCTTGGCTAGGGCAATGTTTAATGCCCCTTGGCCAGGGCAATGCTTAATGCCCCTTGGCCAGGGCAATGTTAATGCCCCTAAGCCAGGGCAATGTAAATGCCCCTTTGCCCCAGGTTGGCCAAGACAATGTTAAATTTCCTTTGACTTAGAAATTGTTAAATTTCCCTCATGGCAATGTTTATATATATTCAGTAAGGGTATAAATCCAGGGGCGTACCTACCGATACGCCAATACGCCAGGGCGTATAAATTCAAGCAGAATTTCAAAAAATTGATAAAGTTAGAAATTCCAAAAATGGAATAAAAATCAAGGGGCATAGTGTAGGTCCCCTTGAAATTTTAGCTCAAACTGACTAGATCGATCCTGTGAAGTAATGTACAAAGACATGGAAATAAACGTATAGATTTCAAGTAGCCTAATACCGTAAATACGGTACTCGGCAGTAAACTGTTCTACTTTGTCAACGGGAAGCAACTCCCAGCGAAGATGCGTTTTTTATCGTTGTTTCTATTCGGGATCCGAATGAATGTTTAGCGCAAGTTTTCAAGGCGGGAATTTTAAAATGTCTTTTAAAGATGGAGATTTCATTCCGCCATATTCCTGATCCTTTTGGAGATGGAGAAAGCTTCAAAGAAGTTAACAAGAAGCTCGTTCTTTTGACTCAACCATGGAATGATGTGCAGGCCTTTAAATTCCCATCAAGGTAGATTCTAGCTTCTCATTCTACCTATAATTAGAATCTATATAAATAATCAAAAAAGTAGCTTTATTCAAATTATCGCGTAAAAATATTCATTTGAGATTTAAATGATTAGCGTGGCCTAACTTGTATGGAGAACAATTAAATTAACATACGGCCGAATAGTTTAATGTCATCTGACGACTTTATAATATTATATACTTAATATCAACCTATTAATTTATATTGGCTATATAGCTCAGTGGTTAGAGCGGATGTCGCACGGTCGCTTCGAAGAATTCAGCTGCCGGTTCGAAACCTTTCAGCGTGATTTTTTTTTCTTTATTATATTTTTTTTTTTAATATTTTGCATAAGTAGAATCTAGATCTAAATATGATAATTTTAATTTTCAATGACATTCTTGTCTTTTTTTTTTATAGTTTTATAATTCGGTAAAAAATTTTACACTCAATAATTTTTTAACATTCAGGTATGCTAGTGGAAGATTTAGGACGCCACAACCGGCTTGGTTTACGTCTTATAAATGGCTGAGGTATTCTGTAAAGCTGGATGGGGTCTTTTGTGCCCCGTGTTTTCTATTTTCTGGTTCTGATCCCCGCAGCAAGGCACTGACAACAACTGTAGTTACAGACTGGAGTAACATAAAAAAGATTTTAGATAAGCACGGGAAATCTGATATTCATATCTCTAGTTCAATTGCTGCAGAAAACTTTGTAGCGATACAGAATCAACAACAAAAGGATATTGAGTGCAGTATATCCTCAGCATATAATGCTTTGGTTGAGAAAAACCGAAAAATTATGGCATTGATTGTCGATACCCTTATGCTTTGTGGAAAGCAAAATATTCCAATCCGTGGTCACCGCGAAGATGCTGATTCTGACAGAAAGGGGAACTTTCAAGCACTACTAGAATTTCAGGCTAAAAATAATCCAGTTCTGAAAGACCATCTGGAAAATGGAGACCCAAGGATGCGCTACACTTCTCCAAAGATTCAGAACGAGATAATTGCCATATGTGGCAAACTTATTTCTGATGAAATCGTCACCGAATGTAATCAGTCTCAAATGTTCAGCCTGATAGCAGACGAGGCAACAGACTGCGCTACAATGGAGCAAATGGCTCTTTGTGTGCGATATCTGAAGGACAGCGAGATCAGGGAAGAATTCCTTGGTTTCTCCGAGTGCAAGAGTACCACGGGGAGGCATTGGCTAACGCCTTTCTTGAAAACCTCAGATGTTTAGGTAATGATTGAGAAATTTGACACAATAAACTGCATAAATAACATTATATCTTTATTTACGACAGTTTAGTATCTAAAATAACTTTCTGAGATCCATGTTTAAACACAATTTAAAACTGAAAATATTAATTTCCGTGCCTACTTTGATTTACAAATTAATAAAAGTTTGGCATTCTTTACAATGCTTTACAATGCAGATATTTTTTCGGGGGGGGGGAGGGGGGTCCTTTCACTCAACCTGATTTAACAAATCTCTTTTGTACATTTTTTTACATTTTATAGTATATTATTGTATGCAATAATAAAACAAAGACATTAAAAGAACAGTTTTTAACAGTTTATAGAAAATCTCTTTAAAAAATGCTGTTTAAATGAATAATAATAATAATAATAATAATAATAATAATAAATAATAATAATAATAATAATAATGATAATGATGATGTTGATGATAATGATGATAATGATGATGATGAATATTAAGGCTGAAATAAGGATGATAATGTTGATAATAATAATTAAGGTTATTATAATTGTAATGATATGATTACTTCTTTATTCATACAGGAGTACAGATGGACTATATAAGGGGTCAGGGATACGACGGGGCCTCAAATATGTCCGGGTTATATAGAGGTGTCCAAGCCAGGATCCGCCAACAATATCCTGAGGCAGTTTATACCCATTGCAAGGCCCATTGCTTGAACTTAGCAATTGTCCACGCATCCAACTGCACGTATGTTAGAAATATGATGGCCACGGTGCAGACAGTAGCGTTTGCTTTTAACATGTCCGCAAAACGTTTGCTAAATTTTCAAGAAACTCTCGGATGTGACCCACCAGCCGTGAAGAAATGGAAGAGCGACAGAAGCTTCAGTCGTTATGTGAGACACGTTGGGCAGCTAGGGCCGATGCTCTTCACACGTTTTTATGCTCATACAGGTATCACTGTGTTTGATACATTCAATAGAAGCATAAATTATGAATTCTTTGCCGAGATGCTTTAATGACAAATGTCTTACATTAAACACATATCTATTGAAATAAAACATGTGTGTATTAAATGATGAAATATTTACGCATTTAATTATTTTATATATATTTATATATGTTTGATTCAAATTCAATTTTGTTTAAGAACTGTAGTAACATCACTGGAGGACCTGGGTGCGAAATGGCGACACGAAGGCAGCTGCATATAGTCTATCCGTGCTAAAGTTTGATTTTATAATCACCCTTGTAACAGCGGAGCATGTTCTTGCTGCACTTGTTGGACTATCAACCATGCTACAGCAGAAAGCCTGTTGACCTCTTAAGAGCTGCCACAGAAACTAGAGTGGTGATTGCTACATTGAAGGCAAGTTGGTCATTTTATTCATATTCTTAATGATACAAGAAATTTAAGTGACACGATCTATAAATAGAAATGCTTTCTTTCTTTATACTGTATGAGATCTACATAGCTCACATGTACACCTATGTTCACAAATACAGCAAGAACTTTATGAAGTCAAATGTTTTTATCAGAACGGATTATATTTTCTTATGATAAAGTAGACTCATTTACATGTGAAGGTGTAGATATAGTCATGAGGATTGATTTTTTATGTCCCACTTTGTATTACATAAAGGATATACCGGTATATGTTTGTTTTGCACAAACCTGAGTGAACACCAGATATGCAATATTTTCACGAGTCGCGTAACCACGAGTGAAAATAGAATACGCTGGTGTTCCCGAATGAAATATATTTCAATCTAATAAAACAAATAATCATGCTTTTGTAAAATAGCTCTGTTAAATTTCTCTAAGTTTTTTTAAATTTTTAACATGATGTATGATGACATCAACTTTCTTTTCCTTTATTTAGGCAAAATGTATATGTATGACGGCATTTTTTGCCAGTTATTCCATTTACTCATGATATTCTTTTCATCTGCATTCAGGTCTTGTCCGGCTACAGTGAAAATTATATTTGTGGTTTATGTTCCCATAATCATCTGATATATTACAGTAAACCTCTGGACAGCATGGAATAAATATGAATCAAACGTAATTTACTTTAACGGTGTTAAAACCGTAATTAGGTACAGCAAAGACTTGTTACTTGTATGGAGAATATTTCAGGTTAGGTAGTTTGCACTGAGCCTCAACAGAACGATCAATATTTTATAAACGCTCTAGATATCTTTCTTATAGACATAATTGTGACGCTTTGATATTTTCGAATTATCTTACAGAATGAAAGGGCGACACTGCTGTTTGGGATTCTTTGTACCAGAAAGCTGTGGATCTTGCTTCGGATGTAGGAGTCGATCCCTGCATTCCAAGAAACGTAGGACGTCAGAGAAATCGCCCAAATGGCCCAAGTGATACATCATCGCAATTCTGGAAAATTAATATGTATTACCCTTTCTTGACGCATCTGTTAACAGAGCTGGAGAATCGCCTTTACAAGCAAATCCTAGATACAACGCACAAAAACAATCCCAAGTAGGTCAAAATTGGGTTTTTTTAAATTTAAAAATTTTTCATAAATTTTTGATAGAAACCCAAAAAAAACATTATTTTATAGCATTTTTTTTATTAAACTATTCGGCCTTTTTGCTATTACGCTGAGAATTTAAAAATTTCAATATAGACTTTTGAAAAAGTGAATTTTTTTTCAACTTCTTTGGTATAAAATACATATTCATTAAAACTTTAAAAACACAACTTTAAAAAGTAGAAAAAAAAATCAATTTTCAATTTACCGATTCTTTGACACGACGCTTCGTCAAACATTTAAAACGTCCCGTGCAAAAACGCTTTCAAACAAACGATTTTTAAAGTTATAGTTAACATTGCGGTGAAACGTTTAACTTTTTTAGAGAAATAATGACATTTGAATCAAGTACCGAAGCTTATCAGGGCCCCCACGTAAGTACAAGTTTCACGTCACGTCAACTTGTTTCTTCTTGTTTTGACCAAAAACATTCCATGAAGTGAAGACGTTATATGATAAATACGTAATACGTTTAAGTTTTTAATCATTCCCAAAAAAACTTTTGTTGAATTACCTGAGCTATTTGTCAATGCGAGTAAACGTCATTGCGTCTTACTAAATATTTCAGCAAAGTCGTGAAATCACGAAGTTTCGACAGGATTTTTGCCGGAGAGCATATCGAGAAAAGTTCAGTTGCAATGCCTTAAATCTTCTCATCTTTGTCAGTAAATTTTATTGAGACATTCGAAAACATCTTATCAATGCGAATAAAAAAAAGTTAACTTAGCGTAAAACATCTTATCAACTGTAGGCCCTGATAAGCTTCCGTACCATTAACAAGTTAATTTACAAAATTTTTGGAATCATGAAAATTGAATTAAGCGGTCACCAAAACAAGTTCGGTCACAGTGTAAATGATATACTGTTGGTGATGTGGGTTTTAATTCACCAATAAAACCCAGTATCTCTCCAGTTAGCATTTTAATAGAAACTATTGTATGAAATTGGGCATTTTATATGTTTCGTTGTGTGAACAGTACTGAGTGATGCTGAGAGAAATTGTATGTCGACATATATTTTGACAAATACTTAATCACATTATATTGTAGCTTTCATGATAATTTGTAAACATGTTTAAATCAACTTTATTCTTGATTACTAAGACATGTACTGCAGATATGAAAATGCTCATTGAATCCATTACTACTACATATATAACGAGGAAATCTTCTTTTAACATTATTTCATTTAAAGAATTGATTCTTTGCTTAAATTGTAATATTGAAATTATCGATTATTTTATAGGTTTCAAAGTCTGGTCTTCCTGTATCACAGTGCCGAGAACTATACAGGGGTCTACAGACATGCTTGGATGTTGACGAAGATACATTCCTCCGTGAATGTGTCTTGTGGAGGACGTGGTGGACTGATCCAACACTAGCTGCCCAACGAGAAACGACTCCAGAAAACTTAACGGAGTCATTAAAAGTTACAAGTGAAGCATTGTATCCAAATATCAGGAAATGCTTGGCACTTCTTATAGTAGTGCCGGTCTCTACCGCTACTGCAGAGAGATCGTTCTCTACAATGCGTAGAGTTAAATCATACCTCAAGTCAACCATGACGACTGAGAGGCTGTCCGGCTTGGGACTTCTGAACATTTACCAGGAAAAGAAGCTTGATGCTGAACGTATTGTCGATATTTTTGCGGCTAAAAAAGAAATAAGACTGGCTTTGATATTTAAAGTGTAGATTATAACAGAGATGTAAATGAATAAATAAATAAATAAAAACATAAAAATTATAATAAGAAAGAATGAATGAATAAATATATAGTAAATAGTAATGAAGAAGGAATAAAATCTAATCGTTTGTTGTAATTTTGTTGTAATACGTTTAATACTTTTTTATTATATTGGTTAAGTTTTAGTCAGGGAAAGACATTTGAGAAGCTATTTTATGGCATTTCAGCCTTTTAAAATGATGCTTAATCAAATTTTTTCGGGGGCCTCCGGCCCCCTGAACCCCTGGCCAGGGCTTTGCCCTGGACCCACCGGGGGCCCTAGCGGCCCCCAGGCCCCCAACTTTTATGGGCGTATTCTTCAAATACCTCCAGGTACGCCCCTGAAATCTATATCTAATGAAATATTTTTATCAATTCTATCAACAGTAAAATTATGTCGGTCCATTATTAAATGGTTGATTCCCAAAAAAGTTGTAAAAAAAATGTTTCTGTTATTTAATACACATGAATAATGTATGTAAACAGAATAAAATGTTCTGGAACAAAATACTATTTTGCTATTTTAAATAGGGTTTAATCCATTGGCTTTAAGGCAATTTATTGCCATTTTTATTTCATACAAACATCTTGGAAAAATGCGTTTTTAAAATCCAAACAATAATTTTTTGCATCAGCTATATAGCTTTATACACTTTAACATCACTCTCCTAAGGCAGTGTTTATTGTCTATCAATTATATCAGTGTTTAATACAAGGAATTCACTTAATTTTATGGACATAAAATTTCGTGGTTTTGTCAAAAAGAATATTTTTGTGGGTACCTAAATTCATGGACTGTTTATTTTCCCAGAAGGTAAAATGTAAAATTTAATAATGTGATGCAAAATTATTTTACAGCAGAGGAAATAAAATTTTGTTGGATTTAAATTTGTGGACTAACCTATCTTCGAAATTAACAAAAATTAGTGCCCCACAAATAATAATGATTTTGCTGTACATTGACCAGTCACTCTGCCACTGGGCCATGTATATTATCCCTCAGTCGAGGCTATGTTTATTGTCCCCTAATAATGTTGAGAAATGTCATGTGAGGAAGCTTATCACCTAATACTTTTGAAAGTCAGGGGTTAAAACAAAGTGCCACCTATTGCCTGATGTTACAGTAGAGTCTTAGTTCTTCCTTCAATTGACAAAGGAAAAGTTCTCAGAAGAGAGTGATGATTCACTATGACTTGATTGACTACTAAATCATATGACTAATACTGTCAAAGTGGTTAAGATAGCGACGCAGAGATATTGACGAATTTCGCGAATTGACGAAAATCGCTAATGTTTCAACCAACATGCCATTAAATTCTACTTTTGCAGGATTCACTAATATTTCCTCATGTGAAATATCTGTAATTTTAAATTTGCTAACTTTTTCAACACACAGAAAAATCCACTTATACAGTACTCTATGTAAATTATGATAATGTTATAGTTGATATTTAACATTGCACTTATACAGTACTCTATGTAAATTATGATAATGTTATAATTAATATTTAACATTTCCAGGTTTTAATAGATCTTACATCAGCATGTTTGACAGATGAACCATATTGGTATCAGCTCAGTAACCATGACAACACAAGTCTACCACTTCCTAGTTCTTCTCCAAGAAATGTAAGTATATTATAATATATCTGGTTACCATGCCAATAGTGAATTACCCACTTAATGTAGTTTAGTATTTTTGAAGAAATTTATGTGCATGTGTAATTTATTAGATTTGACTATACCTGTATATTTATATTGCTTTTTTAACTGCATTGCATATGACATACATGGTCCTTTTAGATAATTAATTCTAGTATTTTATTGTATTAAAAATTGAATACACAGTGATTATTTCCCCCAATATTTTACAGCCAAATGAAGGCTGTATGCTGTTGCCCAAAATAGGTTTAACTTCCCCTGAAAATGCTATATTTTCCCCTAAAAATGCTCTATTTCCCCTGAATATGCTATATTTCCCCCCCTGAAAATGCTATATTTTCTCCTTAAAATGCTATATTTTCCCCTGTAAATGCTCTATTTCCCCCCTGTAAAATTTAATGCTATATTTCCCCCTCTGTAAATGCTATATTTCTCCCTGAAAATGCTATATCCCCCCCCCTGAAAATGCTATAGTTTCTCCTAAAAATGCTATATTTTCCCCTGTAAAAATGCTCTATTTTCCCCTGTAAATGCCCTATTTTCCCCTGAAAATGCTATATTTCCACCTGAAAATGCTATATTTTCCCCCTGAAAAGGCTACATTTCCCCTGAAATGCTACATTTTCCCCTGAAAATGCTATATTTTCCCTTGAAAATGCTATATTTTCCCTTGAAATTCAATGCCCTGTGCATATTCTTCACCGGAACCATGACTTAACAGCAGCTGAGTCATATCTGCTAGTTGATTGAAAGCTGTCCCTATAGATAGCCTCTAGGCCTATGTTATGTACCATGCATGTCCCAGCATTTCGAAAAACCTAGGTGGAGTCCCTTTAACAGCTACTGGCCTTTTAAAACTCTCATAAAACCTTGTATATATTTACAAAGATTTGAGTGCGCAGGATGAGATACAAACTGTTGATAACTGATGCGTACTTAACACCCATTACCCTGTATATTAATAAATGCTGCATTAACATTACATAATTTTACTATTATGCATTTCAGAAAACGAGTAAAGACCCATATGATGTACGGCATAGGCAACAAATGTCACCACCTCACGTAGGACGGGGTGTTAGTGATAGCGACGTATCCGAGATTGATGACAGTATCGGTGTCGTGGGTGGTGAGTCGACTTTATTGATGCTTATACATATTTGTAAACATTAATGCAAGCAATAAAAGGTATCGTCAAAACGCGATTTTTTTGTGGTATGACAAATATGTTAGTGTCACCATTAAACCCAGACAAATAAATGCAAAATGATTTAACGCTTAATACTGAATTTGTATAATGGGCTTTCCCAGCTTTGATTTTGGATCAGTCCATTCAAAGATTTATGGATTTCAATATTATAATACAGTCGAGACTGTCGTGTGACTGCCCAAGGGACCGTTAGAAAAAGGTCAAATATGATAGGGAGTCTCGTATTAATACAGTCCCAAAGAAAATTGACATTTTAAAAACCATCTATATACCATTGTGACTTAACATACATGCATGGAATAATATCCAACCAATTGCAATGAAACATATATTAAGTACTTTAAATATTTGATGTAAACAAAATAAGAAAATTTGATAAAATCACATGTATACCATATAAAATTAGATTGTCATTTTGTATAAAATTTATATTTAATCATTATGGTACAAAATAAACATTCAAATCCTCAAAATAAATAACATACTTTAAACAAGATATTCGTATCCAAAGTTTTTTTCTCTTTAAATGAAAGGGCGGGTTATCAACATTTTTTCCGTAGAATTCATACTTCTTAAAAAAGGTGAAGTAAAAAAAATTTGCCTAAAAATATGTCCCATAGGCGTGGTTTTGTCACAAAGAACATTTTCAGGGGTATTTAAATTCATGGACAGTTAATTTTCAAAAAGTTAAAATGTAAATAATGTGATGCAAAATAATTGTTGGAAATTTCGTTGGATCCTAAATTCATAGATTGACCTATCCACGAAAACCACAAAAATGAGTCCACAATTAACGATGATTTTGCAGTGTAACTGATAAATGGTTATGAATAATTGCTCTAGCTCATAATATGATCCCTCCAAATAAAGGCAAAATGTGTACAAAGGTCATTATTAGCCTTTACTGTAGTTGTATTTTGGAATAAGTATGGGTCAAATTTGATTCGATTTTATATTTTATGTAGTAACTGTTGTTAGCAGTTCAAAAACTTGAATGGTAGAAGACCTTTTAAAGGATTCCAATCCATTGAATTTATATATAATAAAAGTATGCAAGGATAAACTGACAAAATGTATCTCAATTTAAGATAGAATCCAAAATAATGCATGCAGTGGCAAATTGTTTTTACACAGTAATTTTTGAAATATAAATTGCCTTAGATGCGTTTTGACACACCTCTATATTCAACAATAAGATAAAAGCATCATAGAAAATCATCTTTGTTTAACATATTCAATTGTAGGTTTAACAAGAGATGTAGATTCTAGCAGAAGAGGGAGGTTACCTAGTACAGCAAATGAGAAACTCGATGTCCCGGACAGAGGTCGCAGATCTAAATCTCCTGCCGCAGATTCCAGGGATCGGCAAAGAAATAGGTCAAGGTCACCAGCTCCGGATAGAGGTCAGAGGTCAAGATCACCTGCTCCAGACCAAGGTCATAGGTCAAGGTCACCTGCTCCAGACAGAGGTCATGGTCACATGAGGTCAAGGTCACCTTCCTCACATCACCGAGTGCCTGATACTGTAGCTCGCTCATTGTCACCCACAGATCTCAGGTGAGAACATTTATATACTGTATTGCAGACATTCTTTGTTTAATGCTATTGTTATCTGAAGAACTATGTCCCTTTGTTTTTATTTTTAGCTTGACTATATGAAGAATTAGGAGGGATTTTGTACTCACCCTGGCATCGGGGGGTATCACACTTCTGCAAAGTTTTTTTGCATGTCAGTTAAAAATGTGTCTCTAAAACTTCTGAAGGGAAAGAGCTAAAACTTCACATGCTTATTTGAGAGCTTTATAAGGAGGTCACTATGTAATACCCGTAACTCTAACTGGAATTTTGAAAGTATTATGGCCCTTTTTGCACTTAGATATTTCTACATTATCCAGACTCCATTATCCAGACTCCTGCAAATTTTTTACCATCAAGGACTGAGAATTGTCAAGCATGCAGTCCTACTGACAGCTCTTGTTTTGACATATATATAAAAATAATCTTGTTTAGTTATGATATTCTGTTGTTGATGATTTGGATTGTTGAGTTGGCTGATTTTTTGTAAACCAGGTTTTCAATTTTGAAAATCCTTGTCCAAGATTTGTTAAAAAATTCACTAAAATTGCCATAACTTTATTGTAAATGGACATATATGATCCAAATTTCTATTAAAACACATATCTAATATTTATTTGGACACAACATCATGTTGGCCAAGGTCATCATACTACCATAAGTTAATATGACCTTGAAATTGAATCCTTAATGACCTTGACCTTCAAGGTTATATTTTGAAAATACATGAAATTGCAATAACTTTGCTATTTATTGATGGATTCGGTTCATATTTGGACAAAACAACATTTAGGGCAAAATCATTTTACCAAGCTTAGTGATTAAAAAATACTTGGATTTGGACGTTTGAATAACCTTCATACCATAAAGGACCTTTGGTAATGAGAAAAAGGCGGGTGTTGAAAACCTGGTTTGTTAATTGTAGTGGCATTGCCATGTTTTTTGCTTTCTATAATGGCGACACTGTGTGACATGACTGATATGACTGATCTCATATTACAGCAGCAGACATTCCTCAACCAGTACGCCTGTACGGATGCCGGGTATTTCACCAACCAGTACACCATCACCAAAGAAACGCCAGCTTCCAGCAATACCTGTCGAGGCTCAGAGAGCCAGCAGGGACCGAGGTATTATAACGGAATTCATAGTTTTGTTGTTACTACATAGGATTTATACCGCCTCCGTGGTCAAGGGGTTAGAGTCGATGACTTCTAATCTAGTTATCTCTCTGGCTTGGGTTCGATCCCTGGGAGATGCTTTGGTAGTTTAGCACGGAGGAAGGTAGTCTAGTACTGGTGTAACTCGCCAGGAACGATGGTTAGGAAACTACCCGCCTATATGATTGAAATACTGTTGGGAAAAGGCGTAAAATGAAACAAACAAACAAACAGGATTTATTGCATTGCTTGTATTACTAAAGTGATGTTAGACGTACATATCCCTGCATATACACGTTTATCAATAAGTCAAGGTGCAGGAGTGTAATAAAGCCATTTTATAAAAACAATATTACACTAGTGTAACACTTTGATGTGACGTCATTTGCGCTATTATATACAAACTTAGTGTTAAACTATAGGCCCATTCAATGAAAAATAACTCTATTTAACTGTAAACTGTTCTAATAAATAGAATATTATATTCATGTAGATTCAATACTTTATTTATTGAACTTGTTGCATAAAACAAAATTATACTCACCAGAGGCTCGCATAATATATTTTTACTCAACTCATTCAATAAATTCAATACTATATCTACACCCATTCATTATTCTCTATATGTTATATTGGTCAAGTAGTTTTGTGGGCCTAAACTCCTAAAATTCAGTATGTAATACAAATACAGCAGCTATTTATTGTTCAGAAGCTGACAAAATCAAAAAAACTTTTAAAATTAGAAAAAATTAAAATTAAAAAAAAAAACTTTAGTGAAAATTATTAAAATATTAGAATTTGTGCAGTGCAAAAAGATTATGAAAATATTTTTCTTTCTGCCGCAGTAACGCAAGAATTAGAGGAGCGAGCGAGAATGATGAAACAGAGAATAATTCGTCAGGCGGAGGGTACGAGCATGCCTCATTCTGATAGTGAAGGTTACCGCCAGAGTCGACACAGTCAGGAAAACAGGTCAAGGTCACGTGACCGAGCATTTGATAGGGAATATGACTTCAGACTGGGACGTGATTTTGGAGGGGGCGGCTACCACCATAGAAGAAGACGAGGTAAGTTGAGATATGACCAGAACGAAACAAAGACCTTAATAGCATATATATATACATTGTAGTTAACATGTTGTTAAAAGTTTACCAATTTTTGCCGTTAGCTTACTTAAATACTTGGTGATCAAATGTCTGCCCATCTGTTCTTGGTTTAAACATATTTATTTAAGCTCGATTGCGAAACAAGTTCTTGCAACTTATATTAATCACTTTCGAGTCCTCTTCCTGGAACCAACCAGTACTGGTGTCATATGAAGAAACATATGGTCGTGACCCGAGTAGGGCTCCAACCTATGATCTCTGGGTTGATAAGCAGACACCATAACCACTAGGCCACCACTCCGCTCTATTCTTGACAATTTATATCTGCATAGTAACTTTTAAAAGACATTAACGATGTATTTAAGTATATAATATCAAAACACAGGTTAAGATTTATTTTTGTTACAGTTCTCTAATTTATGATATAATTGTGCGCCTTTATGTTAAATTGCCTTTAGATAAATTCAAACAATGTCATAATTTACACATCTCTTAAATTGTTTTCATTTTGTATGAAAATTTAATCTATAAGATATATACCGAAAATTCATATTTAACGCCCCTGGGGGCTAAACAATTTCCGGGGTGGGATTGTGGTCGGGGGCGTTTATAAGAATACAGTTTTTCGTAAATCCAAAATTCATTGTAAATACATTTGGTGTTGAACAAGTTTTCATAATAATGTTAAAATGTTTTAAAGTTTATTATGATACATTTTTGTGGTTTTTTTTTTTCTATAAAATAAAATGGATTCTAACAGATTTGAATAAAAAAATGGATTTACTCTTTCTGAACTTTTTCAGTTCAGCACTGAAGAGTAGATTGAAACCCTGTGGAGTTGGGGGGGGGGTCTTTATTAAGGGAGGGGCTTTTAATAGAATGTTTATGGTATACTAAAATTGAATGTGTCACAAAATTGTTTCAGAGTTTGGGATGGATGATGATGCACAGAGTGACGCCTCCGAGACTAGCGATATGTCTGAAGTGTCAAAGGTCAGCACGATCAGTCTAAGGTCAACGCAGTCTGAAAGGCCGCGGAAATTCAGGTGCGTTTAAAGTGAATTATTTAAGATAACCTTGATAATAGGAGTGATAATTTCAGGATAATGTCACAGGGGGAGATAAATGTGTAGCCTGATTGGGATTTTAACTTTAGTGACCCTGTTTGGAAGCTATACCAACTGAGGTTTTCAGCTATATGGTCACTTACACATTTGCTCCAAGATTATTCTTAGGCTTTGAAACCAGAATGAAGGCTTTGAAACCAGAATGAAAAAAAAAAAATTAAAAGAAAATTAAAGAAATTAAGATATTTAATTGAAGAATTGATTATTTTTGTCCAAAATTTGTCTTGTACACAGATTTTAAAGTTATTATAATTATAAAATGTACGTACATGTTGCTAATTATAGCATGATTTTTCTATTATGACAGTGAGTTTACCTCTAGGATGGAAAGCCGAAGTACACCTATGCCTGCACGTCGTGCACCTCCACGTAGTTCTAGTAATGATAGTACTGGATTTGAAAAAACTGACGGTAGCCAATCAGATTCTGCGGTTTCCAGTAGTATAACTGAGGGGCGGAGCAAGCGTAGGCCGAGCCTTAGTCATAAAATGGCGTCATTTGTAGGACTTAGAAGGAGGAGTAGCAGTGCTAATCAGCTAGGTACGACTTATTGTACAGGGCAGTGTTTCATAGAAAGTCCTAAGTGTATCTGAAGTCCTAGGTCATATACTTTAGGACTTAAACTTAAGTTGTTACAGTAAATGTATTTATCTCAAAGACTTATCAGACTATAATTAAATTCATTTTCATGAGAAAAGTTCAGAAATGTAATGAGAGACTCTTTTTATTATAAGCATTCAAGGTGACCTGCTATTCTGGTGCACGTCAGATCCTAATGCTAATTTGGAGCTGATTTTAATCTAATGAACTTGCGATGACTTGTTATAATAGCAAATGTTATTTTGTTGTACAGATGGGAGAAAGAGAAGTTCATTTCAGCGATGTGAGGAGGTAATACCAGGTGTTGAAGGTCCTGGACATATGTACAAGCAAGGCAGTAGGGAATCAACTGATGGCAGCATCAGTAGTGACTCCGGTAGTGTGTAAGTACAACCCACTCCTGACCCTCCACCCGAAAGTTATATTTGTATTTGGCATATTTTCCATCTCTTTAACCCAAAATGTAGTTGGTCTTTTCGCCATTTACAGTAGTGGCAAAAATATGAACAATAATTTCATCAAAATTAATAGTATAACAGACTTGTTTGAAGAGTATCCAAGGGATTTCACTCTTATATAGAAGGCTACAACTAGTGTTATTAATTTTGGGTATAGTTATAGGCTCAAATTTGAAATGACATTATGCACATTTTTTAAAGCTGTCAAATTGATTATGTTTTAATGGTAAGATATGAAATTGAACACAATTATGGCAAAATGTAAAGTTATTTTTAGTTGACCAGATGGGCATATTGTCGCTTTAAGTTCTGCAAAAATATCCCAAAGTTTTGTATATATATTCACATTAGATGTGAAAATTTGAATGCTTTATTTATATATTGGCTTATATGAACATATTGGCTTAAGTATCAACATATTAGCTTATATGTACAGTCATATTGGGTTATATGTACATATTGGCTAGTATTAACATATTGACTTTTATGTTCATATTGGGTTATATGTACATATTGGCTAAAATATCAACATGTAAGGTTATGTTTACATATTGGCTAGTATCAACATATATTGGTTTGTTTTCATGTTTGTTCATGTGCTTCATTTAGATTATGGTTACCTCCTGGAATGAGACTTGGTTCTGAGGGACAGTTTGGTGACTTTGTAGAGGGATTGGGCCCGGCTCAATTGGTAGGCAGACAGGTACTCGGCTCAGCATGTCTAGGAGAGATTCAGCTAGGCCTGTATGACAGGAAAGGTCATTTAGAGGTCGAAGTTATACGAGCTAGAGGCTTACTGGCGAAAGCAGGCGCTAAAATACTTCCAGGTTTGCTTTCTGAATAAATACGTCATTTACAAATTTTCTATGCCTGTTGCTATACAATTTTTTCTTTGTCTGTGATACAATATTTCCTTTGCTAGTAATGGAATACTCATTTAGTTTAGTTTATACAAATTTATTTTAGTTTGATTGTGTTGGAAGCTATAAGCTTATAGAAATGTTCTTGAATCCTTTCCTGGAACCAACTAGTACTAAATAAAGAGTATAAACTTTCTTGCTCACAGAAACAATGGCTTGCCCCTTATAAGGTTTGAACCCATGCTGCCAGTATTCCCTAGATTACTAGTCTGACAAGTAATATATAATATATTTAAATAACAAATGGTCCTTATTTTTAGATTATGGCATTGTTTAATTATGTCATCTTTTTAAAGGCATCAGTTTTGACTCCTTAATGAGCAAAATGGCTCTTTAAGAACAAAAATGGCTCTTAACTCTTTAAGGACCAAAGTGGCTCTTAGCTCTTTAAGGACCAAAATTTCTCCTCAAGGACCAAAGTGTCTCTTAGCTCTTTGAGGACCAAAGTGGCTCTTAGCTCTTGAAGGACCTAAATGGCTCTTAGCTCTTTAAGGACCAAAATTTCTCCTCAAGGACCAAAGTGGCTCTTAGCTCTTTGAGGACCAAAGTGGCTCTTAGCTCTTGAAGGACCTAAATGGCTCTTAGCTCTTTAAGGACCAAAATTGCTCCTCAAGGACCAAAGTGTCTCTTAGCTCTTTGAGGACCAAAGTGGCTCTTAGCTCTTGAAGGACCTAAATGGCTCTTAGCTCTTTAAGGACCAAAATTGCTCCTGTGTCTCTTAGCTCTTTAAGGACCAAAATGGCTCTCAGCTCTTTAAGGACCAAAATGGCTCTCAGCTCTTTAAGGACCAAAATGGCTCTCAGCTCTTTAAGGACCAAAATGGCTCTCAGCTCTTTAAGGACCAAAATGGCTCTTAGCTCTTTAAGGACCAAAATTTCTCCTCAAGGACCAAAGTGTCTCTTAGCTCTTTGAGGACCAAAATGGCTCTTAGCTCTTTAAGGACCTAAATTGCTCCTCAAGGACCAAAGTGGCTCTTAGCTCTTTAAGGACCAAATTGGATTGTAAATGACTAAAATGGCTCTTAATGACAAAAATGCTTTGCAAGGACCAATTATGGTTCTGCAATGACCAAAAATGGCTCTAAAATGACCAAAATGACGCCTCAAGGACCAATTATGGCTCTGCAATGACCAAAATGGCTCTTAACTGACCAAAATGGCTCTTCACAGTCTTTATTATTGGCTCCGGATTTTTTTTACGTCAGCAATAATATTTCTTTTGTTTTATTATTTTAGCACCATACGTCAAGGTGTACCTGATTGAAGGGAAACATTGTATTGAGAAACAAAAGACAACCGTAGCTCGTAGAACGTTAGACCCTCTTTATCAACAACAACTTATGTTTACAGAACCGTACACGGGCAAGATTTTACAGGTAAATACTTGACCTACATTATGTTTACAGAACCGTACACTGGCAAGATTTTACAGGTAAATACTTGACCTACATTTTATTTTCACAGGTTGTCCTTAAAGTGACAGCACCATTACATTTGATGCCCTTTATTTAGATGCAATTAAAGTTTTACTGACCTTAGACTTACGGCCCTTGGTTACATGTTTGTATTTTTGGCTTGAAAAAAGCACAGCTATATTACAGTCGAGACTGTCATATGTGACTTTCCAAGGGATCTTGAGAAAAAGGTCACATATGACAGGGAGTCTCTTAATACAGTCTCATAGAAAATTAAAATTTAAATACCATCTATCTGTCTATATATCATTGTGACTTAGCATATATATACTGTATAACTGTGTGAAGGAATAATATCTAACCAATTGCAAATACACATAGGTACAAATGTACTTTAAATATTTGATGTAAATAAAATAAAGAATCCCTGTAAAGCAAATATAATAGTATGTATATCATAAAAAATTTAATTTTATTTTTTGTATTAGTTTAATATTGAATCATTATGGTACAAAATAAACTTGAATTTGATGCATTCAAATCCTTAAAATAAATATCATACTTTTAAAAACATATCCATATTAGTCTGGTATCAACATTTTTCCGTATTATCCATGCAGCCATAGAAAGGTAAAATAAAAAAAATTCTGCCTTAAAAAATCTTCCGTTGGCACTCCATAATTTTTTAAACACAAGTCTTAATCCAGTTTACTCAGTTCATTATGTTCATTACACCTGTGACCTCAATTTGTTAACACACATCGATTGCATCAGACGCTACGGACACTCCAGACGCTACGTCACTTGACACCTGCATATATACATGTAATCAGAGGTGTGTAGAGTTTGTTTGAAGAGTACTGACTACTGGATTATAATTGGACTTAATTATTTTGTCTCTCTGGGTGTTAAAACAGGTATTATTTATCCGATTAACGGACAATTAAAAGGTGTGAAAGTCGTTTTAATCAGACAAAGCAATGCATTGGGACCAGATAATTAGGGTCGCTTGTCACATAAGACAGGGAGTCGTTTAATTCAGACCATTTATATAGGAAAATACGTTGGGAGGACTGAAACAAGGTCGGATAAGACAGGGAGTCGTTGAAATCAGGGGGTCGCTAAGGCAGTCTCGACTGTATATACAACAGATATGAAGTTCCAAAAATAGACGATAGTCAGATTCAGACCCACAATCCTTTGCGCACGACAGTGATAATTGGGTTTTCCCTCCAGTCTCCGATTTTAGCGCTGTCGTTCAACTTCGGCGATATCAGTCAATTATACATAGCCGACATGGATTTTCATCAGAGACATATTTGTATTGAAAATTGTGTACTGAACGTTATACGATAAACAACTTTTGCTTCTTCTATAAGCAGAAAATGCTTCATCTTTATTGTCAGTGTACCTCCGGGAATTCAATATGGCAGTATTTTGGCTACTTTTACCGCGGATGCATCAAATCTCGGAAAATCCCGCCACATATGAAAACTTACGTGAACACAATTCCGCAGATACTGAATTTATAACTGTGTGAAGTCACAGTTTCTTCTCCATGTTATTTAGCTCCATGAAAAATATATATATAATTGTTTATTTGTCTTCTGCTTAATTAGTTATGATGTCAAATTTTTCTTTTGATTTCAGTTAACTGTGTGGGGCGACTACGGTAGAATGGATCGTAAAGTATTTATGGGCGTGGCTCAGATAATGCTGGATCAACTTGACCTGTCAAACATCGTAATCGGCTGGTATAAGTTGTATACTAGTTCTTCCCTCGTCGGCCATCATTCCTCAACTGGTACCCTGACTGCAAGTAGGAAGGGATCCAGCACTTCATTAGACAGTGGATATAATAATAGCACTCGGACCTAGCTAGTGTTCTCTAACCAATAGTAACCAATCTTTTTTTGCAATTTTGTAAGCTCGCATTCAATTTTTCAACAACAAAAATAAATGATGGGCGGTCTGCTTGATTTATTGTGAAACAATATAACAATGTGTTCTTTTTCATGTGAAATAAAACAAGCATTCATCTGACTTGGACAATGTGAATTTATGTGTGAAAGAAAGTCAGTTTTGGTCTGCTTGATTTTTTTAATTTTTTTTTTGAAAAAGAAGAAAATTCCAGAAATTGGGACCAGATGATTTTATGAAGGGTCTGCTTGATATATATTCAAAACAAACAACAGGACCTCGTGATTTTGTGATGAGACCTTTGGATTTATTTTTATTTATTTGTGTTTTTAAATGAAGGTACTATAGTCTTCAAATGTAACAAGTAAAAAAACTTCATGACCTATATAATGTTCAAAATTCTGATATTATAAAATCACCATTTAATTTGATTTGATGTTGTATAGCATAAGATAACAAATGAAAGTAATGAATTGGAAAGCCCTTTTATTCGGGCACTGATTAGATATACGTACATGTATTCACTTGTCGACAAAAAGTTTCTATATAGTGAGTAAGCTTTGATGAAAAATTTTTTTGACTGGCTGTAAAACAGGACATTTCCAGACAACATGTGTCGATCAGCTAATTTATATGAACATTTATTCAAGTAATAGTTAATTATAAAACATATTTTTAAGTATACAAACATAGTGATTTTAATCAGCCTTAAAGCAGCATGCCTCAAGATATTGGCTAATTTTAATGAAAATTTAGAAAATGTATTAAAGCTGCATGCCTCCAGATGAGCCGCAATATATCAAGAAAATCAAACTTGAATAAAATGTCCATTTTTAAGAAACATAAAAAGGTTCAAGACTCAAGTAATACTGTTATGTGCAATTTAAGACTAATTTTGCAATATTTATTACCATATTTCTACTGCGTTACTAACGCAGTAAGAGTTTTTTTTCGCATATGTGGACCTCCATTTGGTAATTTACGTGGCTTTTACCAGCCATTTGCAATGTGTATAATACTTTCTTTGTTCACATCATGATATATTACTTAAATTTAAATAATTTTTCAGAATTTACATGATAATTTGCATAAATCTTGAGGCATGCTGCTTTAAAAAGTAACATATTGTGAAGTGAACAAAAAAATACTTTATACATTACAAGATTGCAAGATTGCGCTTATAACTAATATAAATTACCAAAAAATTGGTCAAAATATGCAATTATAGCCCTCACTGCGTTAGTAACACAGTAGAAATATGGTGACTGATCTTGTTTGGTAAAATATTTTGTCAGTTACTCGGTGAGGTTACAGGTAATAACTGCCTTAAAATAACACACTGCTTCTCGTACTAAAATTATTCATATTTTTCAGCCAACCATTGTCTTCATTATGCACTCTGTAAATGGTTACCATGACTACCGGGATAAATTTTGGCCTAATTCCATAATTCTATTACATATGCACAACTGTGACATTATTATAAAGTTTGTGTTTTATTCTCTCTCACAAAATTGTAAATTTTCATGTTTTTTTTAATCAAATCATTTTAGAAATAAAGGTAATTGACATTTTAGAAATAAAGGTAAATGACAGCAGCTTGGGACCTGGCTGACAGCACTGGTTACATCACACTTTGTTTGTTGAAACACTGCCGCCATAATATAGCTTGAGTGACCATAGTTATGCTTGAGTGACTGTAGATATATTACTGTATAAGTGGATTATTTTCTACAAGTCAAAAAACTAGTGAATTTAAAATTCCAGACATTTCGTGTGAGGAAATATAAGCAAACATGTAGACTGCAAGGGTAGCATTGAATGACTGGCTGGTTGATATCTAAGCAAAAGAAAATTTTAGTGATTTTCGTCAATTGGCTAAATTCGCCATTATTCCACTTTGCCAACTTAACCATTTGGACAATATGTGACCAAAATTCATAGACATTTTTTACAGAGAAAAACACTTCACAATCAGTTTTACAAATTGTTCCTTTTATGTGTTTTTCTATGTTCTATACAATAAGCATAATATTAAATAATAATAAAAAAAACTTTTAAAAAGTATTAAAATTAAAGTGGAGGAAAATTATATTTTGCTCTGACTGGCAAAGTTTTGCATGTGGTGGCAGTGGTATCATTACCTAAAAGGGAACCATTTGTCTGTCACCACTGTAGGTTTGAATCCGGACAAGGACTTTGGATTCTTACATGTGAGGAGGCTATCCAGCTAGCTTACAGAATGTCGGTTATTCTAATGAGGCGCCCATTCCTGCATGAAATAATGCAGTGAAGGGCACCTGAGGTCTTCCTCCACCAGTAAAGCTGGAAGGTTGCCATTTGACCTATACTGTGTCGGTGTGACATATGACCCAAACAAACAATCTGCAAAGGGGAAGTAACCAGTGTGAGAAGTTTTTTGTAAAATGTTTCACTTAATCACCCTGTGCCACTTACTAGATTATTATTTTTATATCTAAGTACTGTCTGCTATATAAATCACTTGTTCCAGTCAACCATTCAAAGATCTGTGAGACGGATTAGATTTGAAGTCCACCAATGGGACAGGTTTTATTTTAAGATTGGTACCAAACTTTTTTATCATGACATTATTCTAAGAAGAATTAGTTTCCTAGGTTTCAATAAGCTATTGTTAGAATAAATCCAAGCACATATGACAGTTTATTAACTTTACTCAAACTTCTATTTTTCAGTAAAAAAAATTACTAAGTCTATCTCATTAATTTAAAGGGGCCTCTTTAAAAAGGGCCTTTCTAAATGGGGCCTCTCTAAAAGGGACCTATCTAAAGGGCCTCTCTAAAAGGGGACTCTGTGGCTGAGTGGTTCAAGTTGCTGACTTCAAAATTATTTCACTACACTGTATTATCTCTTGAAAGGAAAAGTTTAATTTGAAAATGAACTGAACATTACATAATAAATTTTCCTTAATACTGAGTATAGGCTTGTAAGTTACATAATGTCACATGCAGACAAGCAGAATTCTTATAATTTTCATTTCTTCGAAAATGTCAAAACCCAACTATGGAATTACATGTATTATGATATATTAATAGGATAACACTTTAATTATATATTAAAGGCCCATTAAACCTAAAAATGCTAATATTTTTATTATTCAAAAGCTTATTTTGTTGTACTGATATTCTCATCGAACAAATAGCGAAGCCATATTCTTTGCAATTAGTACTGTTATTATATACAGCTTATACTACGTGTAACTATATATTAGAACGGACAAGTCGGGCCTCCTGGAGTAAACCATTACTGATGTTTTATATTAAGAGTCAAATTTAGCCTTATAGTTTATATTACATGTATGTAGAGAATATAACAAAGCATTTCTGTTTTGCATTATTGTTAAATACACTGTTATGTTTTTCAGTTTTTTAGCTTGTCTGTTTCAAAGAAAAAGTAGCTATTACGATCAATGTGTTAATTATTGTCATAATGCAAAAACTTTAATGTAGACCATAGTATTTAAACATTTAAAAAGGTATATATATGAAACTTTATATACTTTTATATCATGACAAGGGGCATAATTCTGAAAGCTATATTTTTAGAGTTATGCTCCCCTTTTTAAAGATTGTTTTGTTAGTTTTGGTCAAAAGTGGTTAACAGGTGAGCATTTACACCCCATGAGGTGCCCTTGTTATTAAGAATACTGTGTGCAATAATATAGTTTATGTAATATGTTTTGTGTTGTTTGTATTGTAACATATTATTTATTTGATTGTTATAAGTATTTTGTTAAGTTTTTGTATCAGGCATAACACTAGAAGTAGATATTTTATGTCTTTCAAAGTTTTAAAATGTTGACAAAAGATGTTCTGAATGTTGTGTAAATGTCTCTATTATGTTAAATGTACATCATGTATAATTCAAATATGTTGAATGTACAACATGTATTATTCAATTATGTTTAATGTATGGTATGCATCTATGGAGAACCAGTCAAACTACTTGTATACAAGTTTTTGATTGGTTTGTTTCAAACAGCCAACTTGTATACAAGTTTTTGATTGGTTTGTTTTAAACAGCCAACTTGTATACAAGTTTTTGATTGGTCTGTTTCAAACAAACAACTTGTAAACACATTTTTGATTGGTTTGTCTCAAACAGCCAACTTGTAAACAAGTTTTTGATTGGTCTATTTCAAACAGCCACTCAGTTTACAGTTAGGCAATAGAAGTTTTTTCATTTGTATATTTCAAGACTAAGCAGTTCACGTGTTTTGGTCTTACTTTTATGGACTAAATTCGAGACAGCTTCTGAGTGACAGTACATATGACTCTGACTGGTAACAAAATAAATTTTATGAAAATAGTTGGAAATGAATTTTTCTTTGATAATAGTTTGTATTACATTGGACAAAAACATCATGAAATTTTAACGGGTTTAGGTAAACATGATGCCCTGGCCCCATGTTCACAAAGATTTTAGGATCAGGATCAAGATCAGGATCAAATTTAAAATATCTAATATTCTTCATTGTTTATCCTCATAGATCAGATATCTAATATTAATTTGATAAAACTGGATTTGCAATATCAAGTTTAAGAAATTTTAGAATAAATTTATTGTTATTTTTGCAAGATACAGGCATTTTACGGTTGGTCCAAATATTGATCCTGATCTTAAAATTGATCCTTATTTTGATCCGAATATTTTTGTCTTTTGTTTCGTTATTTATTGATTTTATCCCATAATAGTTTGGTTTAATTGCAAACCAGAATTTTTTTACATTTTGAATATTAACCATTTAATTCTAACAAAACATGATTAATTTCAGTACCATAAAACAATGAAAATAAAATCAATGATCACTTAATTGATCCTGATCCTGATCTTTTCTTAGTGAACACGAGGCCTGATGTTAATTTAACTTACATTATAGTCATGTAAGTATTATGTGATAGTTCATCTTGTCCTCCACCAGTCCTGTTGGAATGATCATGGATTTTTAACATATATTTTAAAGTTTTGATTCTGTGAAATAATTATGTAATATACATTTATTTATTGTTACCACTATTTTATTGTTAAACTGTCTATGGGACATAATTATACTGATTCCAATTTAATATTCTCAGAAACGGGTGTTGTTTCCTTTGATCTGTTATATCTGTAAAGTCCATTTAAAAGCTTTTTAGTTAAAAGCTTGCTACCTTTATAGAGGTTTTTTGGTAAGACTGTAGGGAAAATTTACTAAATGATTTTAAGTATGTATTTATGCATAAATATTATATGGGTCTAATGGTGATTGTTATACTAAAGGCCATATGACTGCCAAATGAATTACACTTCTCCAAGAAATTGATTGTATAAATGCCACACACATATATTTTGGATGCTGATTTCGCATATATATCCATGTGACACAAATAATTCACATATATTTGTGTGACATTTACATGAAGCAATGTATGAATGTATCATATATATGTGTGACATTTACATGAAGAAATGTGTGAATTTATCATATATAAGTGTGACATTTACATGAAGACATGTGTGAATTTATCATATATAAGTGTGACATTTACATGAAGAAATGTGTGAATTTATCATATATATATATATACATG